AAAATGATAAAAAGTCACTTAACCAAAATCTCTAACTGCTACGCAAAATTGCTTAAGGCATTATGTAAAATTGCTCAAGGCGTACATAAATCGCAAAATATTAAAAAAAGCCATTTTTTGATGGTTTTTGGTCCAAATATTTTTTCAAGGTATTTTTAACAAAAAATTATAACTATTTTTGAAATTTTTATAAAGTTTCACTTCTTTTGAGACCCAACATGACATACATATGAAAAACTTTTTTTTCTTCTGTTTAGGGTCTTGTCGCAAGTTTCAGATTTGAGGTGGCCCCCCTAAATCTCATTCAATTTTGAAAAAATTTAACAGGGTGTCTTGTGAGTACCAATAGAAAGTTTTAAGAATAGAGACAGATCAATTTTTGAAAGTATACGGCGTTTGATGCACCCTAATATATATATATATACATATATATAACACACATACACATATACATGTATACTTATGCACATACATACATAAACATACACATACACACATACCTATATGCACATGTTAACACTCATACATACACATATACACACATTAATACACATACGCATACATATACCCACACATGCGTACGCACATACACATTCAATTATTGTACAAGGACAACAAAAAAGCTGTACATAAATGTAAACATTCTTAAAAAAAAAAGTATAAAATATAAAATATAACGAGTGGAGGTTCCTAATGATGGTCTGGAAGAAAATTTAATAACAAACTTAATAGAAACTTAGTAAAGAAAAAAATGAGTCTGTACCAGTTTATTTATAGAAGTTTACAATTTTACAATAAGTTTTTTTTTAATAAATAATAAGTATTGAACATTAACTGTTAATTTAAAACAAAGATTTGATGGATTTATTTCTACCACTAAATAGCGGTTTGGGCAACAACTATTGAATCATTTAAAATTTTTAAAAGTTATGTTATAAATTATTTTTTAATTCATAACTTTAAAAGGTAGACAATTTTTCTACTAAAAAATATTAAAGTTAGATATAAGTATAGAAATAATTGGTGTAAAGTATTTTTTGATTTACCAAGATCCATATTTTTTGGGTCCGGAATGCTAGTAAATTGTGATTTACTATATAAGATAAACTTAAAAATGTATTTTTCATTAAAAAACAAATTATTGATGTTATACTTTAAATATATCTGGCTCTAGGTTGATGAAAATGAAATCCTAATACACCTACTCCTAAATATAAGACAACTAGTTCACATAATTATAGTCCACTCTGTTGCCAAACTACATTGCCTCTCCTGCAATGTTGTACAAAGAATGATCCTACATGTAGCTTATTTCAATCAAACCTGATGATTTTCTTTTATTAATTACCTAGTTATTGATTGTTTTTTATTTATTTAAGTTGGTATTTAATTATTTGTTTATTCTTTGATTTATTTACTTGTTTATATGCAGTTAAAGATTAAATCATTTTAATAATATTTTAATAAAATTATTTTAGTATAATAATACCTAACAGCAGCTTTATAAAAAAGAAGTTCTCCATAACCAACCTTATTTCACACATCCATTACAAATGAAGAAGTACATTATAGATCTATGGGATCATCTACGTCTTCTTTTAAAATTATATAAAATATTTCATTCAATCGTTCATTAAATAATTTTATTGTCTACTAAATTGTATTTTAATTTTTAGTTATATATAAAATGCACGTAGCATGTTTAAAAAAAGAATGCAGTATCTCAAAAACATGTAATATAATAAAACATCATTAAATTCATTAAGCATAATTAAATTTTTTTTTTTTTAGTAAGGTTGAATTTTTTTAATTGATTAAAAAGTTTCTTAAATATTTATATTTTTATTTGATTGAAATGTATTTGCTTTTCCATAAACTAGATTACCCGATGTTTTTTTTTGGAAAAACTGAGTGGTTCTAAACAGTAAAATAAATTTAAAATTGTTTTTAAAGTATATTTGTCACGATTTTAGGCCATTTTATCAGTCTTGTCTTTATTGACAGGTCAATAAAATATTTGTACTTTAGGTAAGGAAAAAATACATTTTTCTCTGCACAACGGCATTGTTTGTCAAGGTTCGTGTTTTGGAGTTATAGAGTTAAGAGAAGGCTGTAACCACTATTAAAGTTGCCACCTCGATTGCAGTGGCCTTCTTGGCCTTTGGGAGGTGAATTAACATTAAAAAAAAATATGAGTGTGTTCAAATTTTACAGATATCACTTTTTGACAATGAATTTGTTTTCTGTTTATTTTTAGCCTTAGGGGAACTAAGGCTAAAAGCTGAGAGGTATTCAGGAAAAAAGTATATTTTTGTTACACCCTAATAAACATTAATGGAGTTTATATTATCAATTAGGCTTTGTTGATTTTTTTTAAATAAAATAATAAATGCGGAAAAGATTCTAATTAATTTTACCCACACCCCATAAATACAGGCTTGGTCGGGAAGCGTGAGCGATCGCTCTTGAAAACTGACCACGGAAATTATATTTATTTGCG